GAGTAGTTTGTCATTGCTTTCTGGACAGTAGGCTTTCTTGATACCACTGTCGAAACCAACGCAAGGCGCATGGCCTGCAGCTGGGATCGAACCCGGCATCCCAGCATTACGAAGCGTTTGCATTGACTTAGCCACAGAGCCGACGAACAGCAAGTACCACAATACTATATTAAATAATATAAAATGTATAAACAAATAACTAAAAAGAGAACATATATTCAGGGTTAGAGGGAAGGTGTGTTTAGCTTGCTCCCCCTCCCCCACTTACAATGGGGTTTCACTCTCCTGGGGCGATGGATAGCACAGACTGTATTTAAAATATGCACAAGAGTTTACCTCTTGATTTATGTAACTGCCTCCTAGCCTTCTCATGTAAGAATGAGAGAAAACCGGAGGTTCTATGCATTCCTCATTCTGTGTGTGACTGTGAAAACAACCCAATGTGACTTTGTGATTACAATATGAATGACTAACGTGACTTTGTAATTATAATGTGAATGCCCCAGTATGACCTTGTAATTACAATATCAACAATCAAATGTGACTTTAATTTGATAATGTGAAGATCCTGATGTGTCTTTGTGACTGTAATGCGAACACAAATTTGTCATCATGTGCAGTTCTTGCTCAGGACTGTTCAGGAACATCAAAGCAAATTCTCTACTTGAATTTAACAACTTGAAATGTCATGGATGCTTAAGAAAAACAAATAATGAGCACTAGCCGTTCAAACTTTGCCACATCAGCTTCAGCCAAAGTTCGCCGATATTTCTTTAATCAAAGCAGGTAAGACAGACATGTAACAAATACCACCTTCCTCATTGCTTTACTCACTGTATGCTTGTGTGTGATATATTTTGAGCATTGAGGAGAAAGCCTACTAGCTTTAATGATAATACAACAGGATAACGTGATCTGTTGTCTCAAGTGCCAATCCATATATTGCCAATCCTTATAAGCACATGGTGGAAGATACTGTCATTTGGGTGTGTAGTGCTGTGTTGACACCTTTTGGTCTTTCCAAATGACAGTTATATTGTGTAACGAAGAGACTCACAGCCCATGGCAATGGTGAAAATGACTAGAAATATCTGCGATAAGAGAAGTCTTTCATACTTAGAGTATGGGATTTCACAGCCACTGCTGCCATAATATGTATTTAGTGCGTTTCTTCTCAGATTTTACAGTGTGAAGTGTTATGTATCTACATATTCTCAGGAATTTTTTTTTTCAAGAAGAAAGGTGCCAGTATTCACCACAAGGCATCTAATAAAAGGTGCTGGTATGTATGTAACTCAAAGTGCCTATTATCATAGTAGTACTAAAAAAAATGATGCCCTATAAATGGTGCCGATAGAACCTGATGATGTAAATGAATAAAAGGCTCATTGAAATAGAGACACATTTGATATATAGAACTAACTGCACAGTTTAAGTGCACTCAATGGATAACTGGTCAACATCACATTAGCTGCCTCTACTTCACATGAAACTGCCTGGTATCTTGTTGTTTTGACCTTAGAAGTAGAACAGGCATGGAAGGCATAGAGAGCCGCAGTGAAGCAGCTAAAGAAAGTACGACAGACACCCTCAAGCTCACGAGAGGAAGTGGAGATGGCGGAGAATGTGAAAAAAGATAAGGTGGAGGTTTTCAAGTGCTGTGCTGCAGAGGCCAAAAGAGCAAAGTGGGAAACTTTTGTGAATGACATGGGAGGCGATAAAACATTGGGGAAATTCTGGAAACTGCAAAGGCAGATGCAAAAAAAAAGATCAGCCTATGACAGTCGGAACAATTTGTAGAGACGATGGTGTGCGTGTGACAACAGACAAGGAGAAAGGGGAGGCTTTTCTCCATAGGTTTATAGCTCAGACAGATCATAATGATGTAGACGAATGCAGTTAGAAAGGAGTTAGCTGGCATCTTAAAGAATAAGCATTATGAAGACATGATACAAGTGGAAGTTATCAAACAAATTTTGAAAAAAGCAAAAGACACCGCACCAGGGCCTGATGGTGTCATGTATGGTCACATGAAGGCTTTGAGCGATGTAGACCTGGCAGAGATGGCCGACTGTTTTAACCAGAGTATTAAGACAGCATCAGTACCGCAAGACTGGGTGCACAGCTATCTAATACCACTACCAAAACCTTTTAAAGATCATTCTAAGCTTACTGGCTTTAGAATCATCACCTTACAAAACACATTTGGGAAGGTCTTGGAGAAGATAGTTGCTGTAAAGTTACAAGAATTTTTGGAAAGGGGGAAGCTTCTCCCAAGAGGTTTGGGAAGTTACAGGCCAGGAAAGGACACTTGGGCAAGTGCGGCCACTTTTGCTTTTGACGTCTATGAAGGGTTCCAGAACAGACAGGAAACTATGGCGGTAGGATTGGATCTCGAGGATGCTTATAACAGAGTGAGATACAACATCTTAATGACTGCACTGAGGGAGAAGGAGGTCAATCCATGGCTGGTGAATTGGGTTGCAGCTGTCCTGTATTCACGTCGGGTTGCTCTCCGACTGGGCTCATGGACCTCTAAACCATGCACTTTGGCCCCAGGACTGCCACAGGGATCCGCCATCTAGTCTGTGCTCTTTAACGTGTATACGAGCAAGATTGCAAGCCTAGAAGCACCAGGAGTTGGAAGGATACTGACTTTTGCGGATGATATACTTGCATATAGGCAGGGTGAAGAGAGGGAACAAATAGCTCGGGAGCTACAAGCGACAGTAGACAAAGTGACTGAGTGGTGTACAGAAATGAAGGCTATCCTCCACCCGGAAAAGGCGTCTGTTTTGTGGTGTTCTCTGGACAACAGAATCGTTAAAACTAATGTCCCAAGTCTCACAATAGATGGTAGAGACATCAACAGAGAGAGCAAACTGAAGTATCTGGGAATTACATTTGAAAGGAGCCTGTCATTTAAGGACCATGTGGAGAGTGTTGTGATGAGATGCCAAAAAGGACTTAGTGCACTTAAGACTATGTCTGCAATTGACATAGAGCAGAGAATGCTTTTCACACTATATCAGCACCTGATGCTGTCAGTGGTGGATTATGGCCTGGGATTGCTTACCGTCTCAAAGAGTCAGATGGACAAACTAGAGCGCATACAGAACGCGGCTATGCGGGTCATTCTGGGTTGCACCAGAGTCACCCCAGTGGTGTGTATGCGATACATCCTTGGTTTGCCGACGGTTGCAGGTAGGCACAAGGTGATGCAGGCGAAGTCATATCTCAGGGTAGCTGCAGACTTAGACCACCCTCTGCATGAAGCTCTGGGTGCAGTTAAGGGTCGGAGGCTGATAAGAGGGAGGTCATGAATGGCTCAGGCAGAAGACACAATCAGACAGGTTTGCATCCTTGAGAACATTAGGCGAAGAGAGGAGTGGGTCAAAGTGCCACCCGAGCAGTCAGACTTGTGTAGAGTCATAATCACGCTGAGCCGGGAATGCAGAGACTGGCCAGCAGGTGCCACAGAGGTGGAAATTCAGCAATTAATTCAAGATAATGCTCCCTCAGAGGATTTGATCATTTACACAGACGGTTCAGTGTCAAGAGGCAAAAGAAGTGCTTGGGACTTTTTTGCAAAAGTTAATGGTCGACGTTTGATGCAGGAGAGCCTATCATATGATACCACAACATCCAGCTTGAGAATGCAGGTGGAGGCGGTCACTGCAGCTTTCCGCTGGCTAGAGAACTCGACACACACACACACATTGTAATTGTAACTGATTCAGAAAGCATGCTGAGGAAGATCAGAACAGGTATGCTTCGTGCAGAGTGGCATGCTTCGCTGCGGAGGACACGAGTGAGGAGCATTGTCTGGATTTTTTCACCGGGTCACGCCGGTGTGTTGGGAAATGAACAGGCGGACAGACTGGCTGGCTCTGCACAACTTGGTGGAATACTGCTACATGATAGGGCAGACGTGGTTAGTGCCTTGTGGGAGAGCGTGTTCAATGCGGAGGAGCAGATGGATCACCACAGTCTGGTGAGATTGATGCAGTTGGGGGTTACGAGAGGTTCTGGCAGAAGCTCAAGGCTCAGAGGAAAGGCAAGACGGACGTTTAATCAGAAAGCTACTGGCACCATTAGTATCGGAACTCTTCGCTGGCTGCTGAAGATGGGGACGGAGCGCTTATGGGAATGCCCCGAGTGCTCTGATGTCGGTTCTTGAATCAAATCAAATCAAATGTTTTGACCTTTTATTATGTGTGATTTAAAAAAAAATACTAAACAGGTTGGGTGTTACACGTTGGGTGTTTATTGTATCAAGTATCAGCATAACCATTTGTGTGCTGTTTGAGTTGAATCCCAGATTAGGCGGATGCTCTGCTAAATTACCACACCAGCTAGCAGTAGAAAACTAATTTGTGATGCCTCAACCCCCAGGTTGTGCTTTCTGTGTGATAGATGCTTTCCCAAGAATCAAACTGTATAAATTTGATCACAGCATATTAAAGCAACTGATGATTAGTTTGACACAGTAGTATATTTATTATCACTTCATTTATGATAACACGATATGTACTGGTATGTTTTTATTTAATAATGAATTATTAAGATAATGTTTGTGAACAACACTAAATAATATAAGGTTTCTTTAAGATATAAAAGGTAAAGTAAGGTCGGGAGATCTGAACCAGCGTCATTGCAAACAGTTTTAAACCATAAGTGCTCTGCCACCAGTATGGACAGCTGATAAGAAACTGTCCGCTTGTTTCGCCGTCCGCAAGCAATTTCTACCTACAGCAACATTCCTTCATTTACCCCAGAGTGTTAACTCTGGTACCCATTACACAGAGGCTGAGTGAACTCCAGGAACTGCCCGGGTGCAAACACTGGCTGTGGGCTGCAGCGAGTCACAGCTGGATGTGAAAGTGAGTCTCCTATCAACTGCGCTAACGCGACCCGTAGACATAGATGTTTAAGATATATATATATATATATATAATCGATACATACATACATACATTAATTGAAGAAAAAAAACTTACTTTGACGATTTCAAAGTCTTCTTTATGTTTGCTGTTCTGTGATATTGTGTTAACAAGTAATAATGTTAAGTATTATAAAGCTGTTCCTAATTCACTGAATTGTATTCTAAAAGTGTCTACAATATTTAGTTCATGTTACAATAAGGCAAATACTGTTACAGACCAACTTCTTCTTCTTCATCTTCTTCTTTAGCATTCAGAGGCCTTAAGTTTTAATGTTGCAGGTATCACCAACCTCCATTCATCTCTGCAACTGGTATTCTTTGTCCAGTTGGTCACTTCAAATTGTCTGCTTGTACCCTATCTCTCTGCTGTCTTCTTGGTCTGCCTCATTGTCTTCTCCTATGCAACTCTTTTGCGTATGCAGTTTTTGTCTGTTATTTGCCAGACTCTCTATGCGCTCAAACTATTGCAGCATGTCAGTCCTCATGGTGTTAGTAATTAGTCGTGATTTAGAAAGATTATGAATTTCCCTGTTGCATCTCATTCTCCCAAAATTTTCCACTGTTGGTCTTGCTGCCTTGCGGGTCCTCAAAATCATCACTGCTCATTTATCTGCCCATTTTATTTGGTCAACCTCTGAGGTTATGGTGGTTAAAAAAATTGAACCATCACTCCTTCACTTGTCTACACACATAAACTCTCACTCTCTCTCCATCTCTCTGTCTCAGTCTTCCAAAATGAAAAGTAAACCTAGAATAGGCTGCTAGAAAACTATCCAGTATACAGTGAAACGGAGCTATGGTGACATAATTGTTAGTGCAGTTGATCCTAAGAGAGTAATTCAAGATCAAATTTAACTCCCATTACTGCCGCCTCCACACATACAAACACACCAAAGACTCAGATATGAATAATCCGTCCCGCTCAGTGACTTGGGAGATTAGGGGGGAGCAATAGATTGCAGGGTTGCCTGTCAGCTCAGATCATAGGTTTCAGCCCCTCTTCATTATTTTTTTTTTTTTTAAACTGACCAAGACTCCACAGTTCCGCACTCTTCCGAACACAGGTCCCAAATTATTCACTGTTAAAAAAATCCCATTCAGGGCCTTTTGCTCATTCTTGAGATTTACAGCTAGGCTGCGATAGCGGTGGCGAGATGCTCAATGGTAATGTCACGGATAGGTAATCTTCTTTCCTTTCGTTCGCCCTTGAAAGGACAGTTGGCACGCTGTGTTGTGATTTACAGCTAGGCTACAATATCTGCTCCTTTAGCCACAACACATCCCATTTCAGCAAAGTCTTAATTAGTCGCCTTTTACAACATGCTTTTTATGTGGCAGTAGATCTATTCTATTTTTTTTTCCACAAACATGTGGCCCTGGAACCCACAAAGGGAGTCACGGGTAATGACATGTAAATAATGGATCAAAAACTACTCCTCCCCACGTCGCTTAAACAATGGATCGAAATTTATTCCTCCCTACGGTGATTAACTGGATTTAAAATTATTCCTTGCCACAGCCCTTAGCTTAACGTCGAAACATTGCTATCAATCGAGCAATAACGGCAGAAGTGGAAACTTCTGATGATGGCCTAAATGTTTTTACTACATAACCTTTTGAGGCTCTCAAATGGATTTTTTTTCGCAGTGAATAATCTGGGATCGGTATTCGGAAGAGTGACCAAAGTTCTTCTACTTCATCTCTTTTTCTAATCTCTTTTGATAGAGTTTCAGAATTATAACCGTGTGTTTTTATTCTTTCTTCTTTGTAATCAAAATTGTGAAAAAAGAATTTTTAAAAAGACATTTTTATTTTTTTTATTTACGGGGCGAAAAGTCTAACACTCACTATAAATAAAACTAACAGCGTTACTGGCGTTACCATGTAGCAGACAACATAAGACTACTAAAATCAACCATAACAATGCCATTTTACCAAAATTCTACCAAATCAAGTTTTAGTAAGTAATGTCAGTGTCTAATTAATTTTATAACAATAGGCTCTCACGAAAGAATCAATTCAGTGTACTTAAACTGTGAACAGGAAAAAACAGAAACATAATTGCAAAATAACTTACATCTTTCTCGTCGTCGGAATCCATGTTGTTTTCCTTAGCACCGGTATGGCAACCTGCCAGACTTTCGTGTAGCGTGCTTCATATTTATATATGGGAAGAAAAAAAAAAGGTTTATTGTAATTACAAACAGAGCAAAACTAAAAAAAAATAATACTTTTTAAAGTCGAGTGTGTACTTTTTTAAGTTAAATAATTTAATTATAAAGTCTATAATTAAACAATCCCACCCAAGCTGGGCAGCTGATTATTTCGTAACTATAACTTTTGGGTAACCCCCTTTATACGTTCGTGCTGAAGGGCTTTCTAGGGTTTACGTCCGAAAAGTGACTCTTTAGTCACTCTATGTCAATATTTTAGGCTGCGGTTGCGAAATGTGAGAAGAGTGGGGTTTGGGTGAGGGGGGGGGGGGGGTGTTAGAAAAAAATTATTAATTAAACAATGTGAAAAATCATCGGAGGAAAAAGTATGTTGCAATGAGGCAAACTATTTGCTTGCCACTCATTGTTGTTGGTATAGTTTCGTATTTTAAATGTATAATATAGACATTTTAATGAATTATGCATTTAATTATAATATTGTCCCTTTCATTCGATGAATTGTCAATTAAGTAATATAAGATTTATAACAGCAGGTTCTACTTTGTGCCAATTTGTAATTTTTTTTTTAATGCATTCTGAAACTAAGTTCGATATAATGCTGGATGTTACCAGTGTTGCCACTTTGGATCTTTTATATCCAAATTTAGATCTTTTTCATTGCATTTAGATACTGTTTTTGACGTTTAGATCGTAAATATTTTTCTAGAAACTTTTCATATGGAGTTAGATATTTTATGGATTTTTTTTTCTTTCATTGTCAATTTATTAATTACTGTGTAAAATAAATATCTGGCAGCCCCGGTACTGATTAATAAAAACGCGCGTAAATCATACTAACTTTGTTTCAACCGTATCCTCACTGTGCTGACTTTGCGTTTCTTTTTCATGTGATTAAAAAAAAATAATTGCTCAATTTCTTATGTGGCTTTCACTTTGAAAAAACCTTTCAACAATCCAAAAGTAAAGTATGAGCACAACATTTGGAAAGAGTGGTTGCATGATGACAAAATTAAAAACTGGGTATAAAACCAAAGCTTGTTGTAAGTACTGCAAGTGTGAAATTAAAGCGAAAATACAAAACTCAAAGAGTCATGCAGAGACTAAAAAAAGCATAAAACTGCAGTTTCATTTAAAGATATTACACCGCTGACATCTGTTTTCAGAACTATACTGATAAATGAATCATCAAAAGTTGAAGTATCAGTCGGAATGTTTTTAATTTGTCACTGCGCAATTTCAAACTGTGACCATTTGATCGATTTGTAAAAAATCTTGGATTAGTTTAATTTGAAAAGTGTGATGTAGAAGGTATAATTTAGTAACTGAAGGACCTTTTAATCAGCAAACAGTTAGGCTTGAAGAAATTGGCTCTAATTGGTACTGATAATGCCTCAGTGATGGTTGGTATAAACAATGGCGTTTATGCCAAGTTGAAGGAAGCTAACCCATTGTTAATACTGATAAAATGTATGCCTCATTCATTGCAGCTAAATATTTACCAAGGAATTTGGAATACCTTTTTGCTGAAACACTTTACTGGTTTTCCAAATCATTTGTCTCTTAAATGCTATCGTGCCATTACAATTCGGCCTAATGAGACTATAGAAATAAGCCTACTGTTCCACTTATAAAGAAATTTGAACAGCTAAAGCATACTAGGGTCATTTTGGATCTGAAGCTTCAACTTCATTATCCAAGCTAAGTTTATCCTTTTGATCTTGTGAGGTAGACATCAGTGAAGGTGAGGACATGATTATGTAGGGTAAGTCATAACAAAAGCTATGTAATTTTTGACTTTTTCAATTTGGATATATTTTCTAGATCTTTTCCACGCAGATTTAGATCTTTTTAGATATTTTTTGACACCGTTTTAGATATTTTTTGTCAAAGAAAAGTGGCAACTCTGGATGTTACGTCTGCTGCACTGTGCCCACTTCCTGCAGGTCTGGTTGTTGTGGCTGCAGTTTTGGCGATTCTTGGAAGCAGTTATGAACTTTCCCTGAGCGTTTGATTTTCGTGTGGATTTAAGCTGAAGTTAGTTTGTTTGAATCAGGAAGGACTTACTCATGTAATGGTTCAAGACAGTTGGAATCTTACATCAGTTTGCTGATCTTGCCACGTTAAGAGCTGTTAACTTTAACTAGGAGTTTAGTTTGTTACAAACTTTGTATGATCATGATGAATGATTTATCTGCCGCACCGTGAACTTGCACTTAACTGATAGTCAGTGTAGTTTCAAAAAACAGAAATATAATAAAATTTGTTATTATTGTTCTGTCTTCTTCTATCTTTCACCCCCTCCCCCCGCCCCCTTTCTTACACAGCCTGAAAAAAAAGGTTTTAAGTTTAAGAAATAGAGCTAATTCCCCTTACGACATGTATGATAGGTCATCTTCTGCTTATTAACCCTCAGTAGAGCATACACCTTCAAACAACTCAAATTTATTCGTCAGATCGTTTTCCCTTTATATAAATAGTACTTTCTCCATATCTTGTTCTTCTGCTGAACATTAGAGCATACATAGTCGCAATATGTTGGATTGAGTGTTAAGTGTGGCCAGAAACGTGTCCTACTTAAACTCTACTGTCTGGAGCCGCATTAGCAAGTCGATAAGAGGCTTACTTTCAAATCCAGCTGTGACTCGCTGCAGCCACATAGTCGGTGTTTGAAACCGGGCGGCTCCTGGGGTTCACCCAGCCTCTAGGAAATGGGTACCAGAGTTGACACTCTGGGGTAAATGGAGGAACGTCGCTGTAGCCACAGAGTTAGTTGTGGACGGCGACACAGGGGGACAATTCTTATCAGCTCTCCGTACTGGTGGCAGAGCACTTATGGTTTATAACCATGTGCAATGACGCTGGTTCACATCTCCTGACTTTACCTTTTTACCTATACTCTACTGTCATTGGCAGATCTTGCAATCATCATTAGAGTTAGAATTCTGTAGTTGTTTTATCCATTCACTGCAGAAACTTATCTAACCTTAATCAGGTATAATGTTTTTTGTTCATTGAAAGATCATCTTCATCGCACATTGAACATGCCCATAGGAAAGGATTAGCATCTGAATATGTTCTCTGTAGTTTAGGGTCTTACTGCATGTATAAAATCTTCTCAAGAATAGGAAAAAAAGGCTATTATTATTCATGATCTAACTCCCAAAAAATAAGGGGGGGGGGGGGGGATACTAATAACAGATCTCATAGTCTTAAGGAGAATGGGGCTTTAAAAAAAGTTATAGGGAATCTGGCTAATGCTCAACATTCAGAGGAAAAGGGAGGCGGATATACAATCAGACTGTTACTGGTGCCCTCAGAATTGGAACTCTGTGCTTGCTGCTAAAAATTGGAATGGAGCACTTTTGGTAAAGTCATGAGTGCTTAAGGTCAATTCTTAATTCAACATTCAGCAGCATTCAAATGCTTTATTGGTTTGGAACAACAGTAAGGAAGGTTAATGCTTTGTATTAAGTGGCAAGACAAGCTCATGGACACAGGTATAATGCACTTCTGTTTCCTCTCAACACCGAACCATCTGTATAGATAATCAGATCACCTGGGCATGAATTGTCGTGAATCAACTGTTGGACTTCCACCTCCATAGCACCCGCTGGCCACTCTCTGCACTCCAGACCCTTTGTGATTGCATTGAGCGATAGAAGGCAGAAGAATAAGGAAGAAATCTCATCTGGTTTTATGCCCCCATTTATGATACTTTTGGCACAAGTTGCAGTAACACAGTGCCTAGCACTCTTTTCTGTGGTCATGGAGGTCGTATCTTTGCAATCTCCTTCAAGGCAGTCATTTCTAAAGCATGTACCTGGGCTCTCAGACATTTGTCTTCTTAGCATTCACCGCCTGTAAACGCCGCTGGAAAATTCTGGTTATTTGTCCACTTTTTACTTTAGTTTTTTTCCAGACTTGAGTTTTGTCTGCACATCCATTTTACAGGTCTGGCTGGTTTGTGTGCAGACTATTGGTTTGTCACTTATCAGGCAGATGCGCTCCGACTTTGAAGGAAACACCACTATTTAGTCGACTTTTATGACATGCTTAAAAGGGAGCAGTGGATCTATTCCTCCCCCCCCCCCCCCCCCCCCCCCCCCCCAGGGTGCCCCAGAACCCACACATGGAGGCTGTCAGGTCAAGCCAGTTAAAAATCAGTGCTGGAAAATGTTCTGAAAAGTAAAGCCGGCTGCGGCACTATTGATGATATATGTTATTGAGTGATGGTCCATAAAAATAGTTGGCGCCTGTAGCTTAGGCGTTGTGAACACGCTTCGTAATGCCAGGGTGCCGGGTTCGATCCCAGCTGCAGGACCTGCACCCTACTTTGGTTTCGAAGAGGTATCGAGAAGCCGACCATCCAGAAAGCAATAGAAAACAGCTGGATGTAAATTTGTCTAGAAAAACCGCAGCAGCCAAAAAATGCCGGGGTGGGTTCTGCAACGTCCTGTAAAGGATTTGCAACTATCTTTTAACTATAAAAATAGGGGACTACTACTGCTTCTTCTTTTGTTCGCTTGAATTAGATTATTTGAATATCTGCAATGTTGTCTTTAGTATGAACTTAAGTTCTTTTTTTTTTCTATTTTATTCTCAGAAACCTGTAAATTTTGGCTTCCACCAGTATTTCTTTTTTCTGTATTTGTCCTTAGAAGGATGGTAGTTACATCATGTTGTGGTTAACAGCTTGGCTGTGATATCTGAGCCTTTTGGCATAACACATTCAGTTTAATCAAACCCCAAATTAGTCACCTTTTATAACTGCTTGTTTGGCGTGTGGGGGAGCAGGGGTCTGTTATCCCCCCCCCCCTCCCCCCATCCCCTCCACCATGGGGCCCGGGAGCCCATACTGGGAAAAATGTAGAGCTAACATCATGTATATGCCCAATGTGCTTCATGTCGTTGAAAAGGGTACCTTAATTAAACTTTCTGCACATCTGTAAACTAATATATTTTGCTGGCTGTTTATAAGTTTAGCTGGTAGTTACCATGGTGTAGCGGCTGGACACTCGCCTGCAGATCAGAAAGTCGTGAAATGTGGTCCTGACAATACTTTTTTTTTTTTTTAAATGACCTTGGCTCCCAGATCAGCCAACCTTTGAACGGGTACCAGGTGGGATCCTGGGAGGTAAAGGTGTCTGACGTGATGCTGACCACATCACCAAGTGGTGATTGATCTTTAAAATATAGGTCTCGCCCTAGATGCCCAATATACCTAAAAGGGTTCTTCACTTATTTACTTACTTAAATAATTTAGGTTTATTATTTTATGGTAATTGAAACCTTTATCTTATTCTGAAGTAAAATTAGAGGCACAACATTAAGCCCAAATATAAACATGAATGGCAAAGACAGTAAGCGAGCCTCACTTGAGGTACAAACACAAAGATCCTCTACCCTTACTGTAGAAACAACAGAGTTGCGTCGTCGATATAGTGGTGAGAGTTTCCAAGAAAACAGGCCGAAACAAATTGTTGAAGTACAGTTTGTAACTGGAGATTCTGATGGGAAAAAATCTCCAACAGCAAGCATGATTATTAGGAAGTAAGTGTAACGCAGTTTAATCTGTTTATTTCATTTGTATATATATGTATATATATATATATATATATATATATATATATATATATATATATATATATATATATATATATATATATATATATATATATATATATATATATATATATATATATAAAACATGTATACTTGTGTATGCTTTGTGTCCCGGTATTCCTGACTAACCATCCCATTTTTTGATGTAACTTAAGGTTCCCTCTTATCCTCTAATGGCGATCCCTAGAACTGACTAATTTACCAGATGTGGAGGTAGTCACTGCAACTTTTTGTTGGCTTCATATACATAAAAAAAAATGTAAAGTCGGAAGATGTGAACCAGCGTCATTGCGCACGGTTATAAACCATAAGTGCTCTGACACCAGTACGGACAGCTGATAAAAAAACTGTCCGCCTGTGTCACCGCTACAGCGACATTCCTCCATTTACCACAGAGTATTAACTCTGGTACCCATTTCCTAGTGGCCGGGTGAACCCCGGGAACCGCCCGGTTTCGTACACCGGCCGTGGGCTGCAGCGAGTTCCCGCTGGATTTGCCAGCGAGTCTCCTATCGACTGCTCCCACACAGAGTTTGATTGTAACAGAGTCACAAAGTATGCTGAAGAAGGTGAAGACAGACTGTGGGTAGAGTTTATTAGACTGTTGGTTCATAAAAATTGTGTTGTCCTCATGTTATGAAAAGGAATGGACTCAAGAACTTTGTAACCACTGGCAAGATTTATGGATAGAGTACAAGAGGAAGGCAGAGAGATAGATGGCTGGATAACTTAGCCACATGGGTGGGGTGGGGTGAGGCAAAAAACATGAACCTGATCTGTGATTGTGGTATCGTGTTAGATGGTGAAACATGATAGCCTATGCTAACTGGCATGGCACATGATGACGATGGTGATGATTTGTATCTTATTTCTTCTTCTTCTTCGCGTTCACCAGCTGTAAACTCCGGCGGAAAGTTCTTGTTGTTCCTCTTCTTGTGGACTTCAGTCCTGTTCCAGAACCTGAGTGTTGTGTGTGCATCCGTTTGACAGATCTGACTAATTAATATGCAGACTACTGGTTCCTTGCCACTCAGGCAGATGCACTCAGACTTCAAAGGAAGCTTCAAATTAGTCTACTCCAGTGCGTCTATTCTTGTTTTCCCTATAAAAGAGTCCTGAAAGCCACACAGGGAAGCTGTAGCTTACTTATATTGGGTGTTTATTATTTTGTTGTTGCTATTTCAGTTCGGGGTCCAAAGATTTAAATTCAAGCCAGGAGTCATTATCGTCACCAGGACCTCAGCAGGTGTCACCCGTTAGCAGCTGCACAGATCTCAAAAACAGGTAGGAACAAACATATATGCTGGTTTCTTCCATGGCATGTGGTAATGCTGACAGATGCAAAATCAGTACTTGAAGCACTCCAGTCTAGGAAACTACCAGAATTGCAAACACTGCTGACACAACTTAGCCTTCAGCAAAGAGTTGTAATGCAGTGGATACCATCACATTGTGGAGTGCCTAGAAATGAGAAAGCTGATTAACTGGCAGTAGAAGGTGCGACAAAAGTGCAGCCGGATGTACCAGTCACATACCACCAAAAGAAAAGAATCATTAAATCAATCAGGAAACCACCAGCCTCAGCACAAGACGACTATTTTATTATGGACAGATCAGAACAAGTCATTATCCTCCGCCTCAGAACAGGGCACAACCGATTACGTAACCACATGTTCACAAAATTCAAGATAGGCGTATCAGCCATGTCCACCTGTAGAAAGGTGCCCCAGACAGCAGAGCATGTACTCCAGGACTGCACCGAATTTGACACATTAGGGCAAACCTTTTGGCCAGAAAGAACAACAGTGGAACGTAAACTCTATGGACCACTGAATGAATTAACAACAACAGTGAAATGTATACAAGAGACAAAATTGCTGATATAGACAACTTATTTCAGGCGAACAAAAGAAGAAGAAGACGCTGGTTTCTTCAAGTGCCTTGTTGGCACATCAGGACCTCACTGAGGTGAAATAAAATGAAAGTGCCATCTGGCCATGTCTGTTGGAGTTAGAGGAGGAGGAAGTTTGGACAGGGCAGACAGAATGTTTGTGTGCCAGAGATTTTGAGACAAAAGACTCAGAATGAAGAATTGCCTGTTGGAATTGGGTGTTAGATAAGGACAAGAATGTAAAAGCATTTGCGGGGCGAAGAAAAAAGATATGCCGATCAATTTTGTAATGGGGAGCATGAAGACACTGAGGTCACATTCTCAGTCAGCGGATGGTAGCATCTTCTTGGTGAATGTCAACTGTCATGTCATGTTTTTTCTTATTTTCTTACAGTTTGGTCAGAGTACCATGTATTTCCCTTATATAAAACACCCCCCATGTTTAAAATGATTGGCACCTTTCCGTCTTTCTAGATGATAGTGTTATATTGTGCTATGAGGAGGCATGGGCCTCACAGCCCATGGTGATGGCGAGTGTGACTAGCAAGACTCGCCCAGGTTAAGAAATGTCTTCCATAATTATGGCATGGAATTTTAATACTGTTGTTGTTAACATTTGTGTTAGTGTGTTTCTTCTCAGACGCTTAGCTCTGATCCTTTCTGCAATCATTTCTTCCTTTATTCTGATTACCTTCCTGATGTGCCTTCTCCACACAGCACAGTTCGTGGCTTTTTGTTTCCACGAGTCTATCTCAGTACCTGTATCATTCATGGCTCACTTGCACAGATCTTTATATTGTAGTAAAGGTGGGCTTGGACCCATCTTTAATTTACCATAGAAGATAGAAAAAAAAAGTCGTAAACTTTTTAGATCAGTTGAATGTTGAATTAAGAATGGACATCGCAGCACTCGGGACACCCCCATAAGAGCCGTGTCCCCATCTCCCAGCATGCTCTGTGAGTCAGTTAGAAGTAGACAATTTTTTTTTTTGGATGTGTTATGGAAAAAAAAAACTTGAGAACTTGGTAATGACTGGCAAGATTGATGGAAACTGGAGGGAAGAGTCGAAGGCAAGAGAGCGCGATGTAGACAGTGATACATGTGGGAGGAGAACATCAAGAGATAGACAGCAGCAGACTGAGGGAGTGTACAACTGAACTAAAAGTTAATGTGTTGGAGATCATTGCCACCAAACTTCAGTGTCAAGATGGCAATGATTGGTTGATTCTTTTTCTTCTTCTTCCTTCTTTCTTCTTCTTCTTCTTCTTCTTCTTCTTCTTCTTCTTCTTCTTCTTCTTCTTCTTCTTCTTCTTCTTCTTCTTCTTCTTCTTCTTCTTCGTGTTCACTAGCTGTAAACTCCAGCAGAAAGTTCTGCTTTTTCTTCCACTTCTAGACTTTAGTCTAACAGATCTTCCACAGATGTGGCTTATTTGTGATCAGACTCTTGATTCCTTGCCTCTCCGGTAGATGCACACCAACTTCGAAGGAAACATCCCAAATTAGTTGACTTTTACGACATGCTTGTCAGTGGATCTATCCCACACCCCACGATGGGACCCTAAAACCCACAGGGAGAGATTCATTGATTGGATGGTATCATAAGCTTCATATATCATCTATCAGCCTGAGGATTTTGCTTGACTAGTGCAGTCACCACAAACTGACAAAGTGCAGGTTAGGATTGCAATATGTTTTGCCCCTGACAGTTCAACTACTGTCACCCTACTAAAGTTTGAAGTTTGAAATACTTATTAACATCATGGTACACGGGTAGTAAACCATAAGTTCTCCGTACTTCTTCTAACTCTGGTCTTGAATTAGAAAAAGCTCAGCACAGTACGCAGGCTCTGTAGCACCGGCGAGGATCCCTGCAGCCCCTGTCATCTTACTGAGGATTGGAACCCAAGTTTCCCAAATGAGAGTCCAACACTCGTCCTACTCAGCCAGTTGCTCCTAAGTTTTCAGCATCTTTGTAACTAAACATTTTGTGGTGGACTAAATTTAGGCATTGTCTAACTCTCTAATGTAGACCTGTCCCTGTATTAGTATTGCGGACAAACATAATTTATTGTCCCAGCCGGTATACATTCTTTTATTTCCTACCTGCGTAAGAGACGTAATAACCGCCATAAAACACCAAGTGTGTTTTACATTTAATGGGGCAAACAAAATACACAATTAAATCGACGACCGGGAATGCCAGGTTTCTTCACTGCGCTTTGACCAGATGTGAGAAAATAAGAGAACCCTTCTCGTCTTCTCCTGCATTTGCCCTTAATGGGGCAGTTATATTTGTTTTAGGGTAAAGGTGCAATATCTGCACCATTCTGTCCAACACAACTGATTTCACTATACCTTTAAATAGGTGCAGGAGCTGCTGTGTTCTAGGGACTAGATGCTCACCTGCGGATCGGAAGGTCGTGGGTTTAGTTATTGACGGGAGTCAGAATTTTTTTCAAAAATGATTTTGGCTTCCAGGTCCACCCAGCCTTGAGTAGGTACCAGCTTCAGTTGTGGGAAGTAAAGGTGGCCGGCATGATGCTGACCACATCATCCACCAAGTGCTGTTCAATCTATAAAATTTAGGTCTAGCCCTATGTACCCAATACACCTGAAAGGCATGGCATTTTTTTTTTTTTTAATTTAATAGGTGTATTTTATGACAAGCTTGTTTTGAGAAATGGAGGGAGGGCAGTTTGTGCATTTTTTTTTTTTTCTATTAAAATTGGGACCCCGGAACCCACACATAAAGGAACACAATATGTAATTGTTAGAATGCGTGCAGAAGAGACAGTCGCACATCACACTTTGCTCAGGACTGATAAGGTTGCAATACTAATTATCATTTGTGTAGTTTTTGTAAACATTATTTCACTTTGTAATAATAATAACTCACATTTGTGACTTTAAAACTTTTGATTCCTTTTTTTTAAACCATTTTATTGCAATTTTAAAAGAAAAAAAAGAAAACATGTCTTGGTTGTCTCATTTTTATATGACCCTTTAATGATTCAGTATAAGGCTTCTTTCTTGCAAAAGGTTGACAGCTGTATGCTCTTGGTGTCACTCATTATTGATTCATTGATTTAAGAACTAACATTATAGTATTTTGGACAGATGCTACAACTCCTGTAGCAAATGTTTACTAGTTTTAGATGCTGATAGAGCTACAGAGTTTGTACTTTGTGCAACACTTTCAGTAAGGGACCAACTGCTTAATGGAGGAGACTGAGTCAGAAAAGATTAAAAAACTAAAAACAGCTTTGTGCCGTCTGCAGTCTTTTCTTGTTCAGTTTGTTCTCCTTGCTGGTGGTTTTCAAATGAGAAGGCCACAAGCCATGTCTTCCACTGTTCTATACAACTTGGTTTCCATTGGAATGCCAATGGGCCAAAGCTGTTATCTCTCTGTTCTCTATAGGGAGCATATCTGTAGTAGCACATGTTAGTATTGTGTGGTGCCTGTCCACAAGGGCAAGGTTCTGAATCCCCAGTCCTGAATTTCTTCTACATATGGCTGCACATCGGGACAACTGGAAAGATCAGTGGAATAAAGGGGTAGAGGTAGACCTATAGAGATGATGCTGGATGGGCTGAAATGATGGCATGGAGGGATATCATCAAGAGAGCTGTTCCAAGCAACCAGGGATCGTGATCTGTGGAAACGCATGAGCGCCTACGCCAGTTGGCAGGGCACATGATGATGATGATGGCTGCAGAGTCTCTTGTTTTTGGTACAAAGTTTAAATATTATGGGCTGTTTCTTTCGTGTGAGGAGGTTGATTGATCTGTACAGTGAATGTTGACTACATTGTACCCCTTGCTTTCTTTGGGGATATTGTATGGGGCAGCCATTTGGGTATGATCCTTGGATATGAAGTATGATATATATCCATGGCTATGAAAGTGCACAATGCAGGAGAGCTGACGAGAGACCAAGTTTCTTTCAGGCAGACTGTGATGAGAGTGACATTCTGCAAAGGATCTGCTACATGATGATGATGATGATAATGATGATGATGCCTGAGATCAGGCCTGGCAAATGAAATCAAACCTCTTGCCTTGACATACCTTCTTTGATTCTTTCAGTCACAAACCACACTTACTGTGTGAAGGGATAATTCTTGTGAGTCATAACCAGCGAATAGTGTGGTTTTATTTACATTTTACATTTGGTCGAACCGTACTCAGGAAATCTGGCTACCCAATTGGTCACTTTGCTATGTTTAGTCTTTGTCTAGCATTCATAATGTTTGGCGGATTAATTGGAGAGTTAAAGTTAGGTGTAGGTTCTGTGGACCCATTTGGGGGAGGGGGGGGGGTAGACCCACTAGCTCCCACCCCTCCCCTTCCCCCTTTTTTTGTTCCCAACAAGCATGTCTTTCAAGACGACTAAATAGAAGTGTTGCCTTTGAAGTCAGAGTATATATGCGGAGAGGTAAGTAACCAACAGACTGGATACAAATAAGCCAGATAGGAAACTGGATGTTCATGCAAAACTGTAGTTCTGGAACAAGATCAAAGTCCACAAGTAGACAAACAACCAGAACTTTGCCCTGGAGGTTACAGCAGGTGAAACATTGGCCATTTCTGTGACCCATGTGATTTAAAAAACCACATAAAAACCATCTTCTTGTTGGCCTCTATTTGCATGAACTACAGTTACCTAATTCCAAACTGAATCATCCTTGAATATGTTGTATTTGCCTTATGGGTTCCAGGGCCCCATTGGGGGTGGGGAACGGGGTGGGTGGGAGAAAGACCCACTTCCCTGTAATAAGCATTTAATAAAATATGACTAATTGCAGATTTGACAAATTTGGATGTGTTGGGCCGAAAAGTCACAGCTGTAAACCATAACACAATGTGCCAACAGCCTTTTTTAAGAGTGAACACAACAGAATAAGAAGAATATTTTGTTTCCTGATCCTAAATCCTAAAACGGCAGTCATCCATATATATTCTTCAGCATTTGTTATTATGTTATGTCACGTTTGAGCTGCACTTTGCACTTCTGAAAAATATTGCCTTTTCCACATATACTACAGCTGTTAAGAGACAACTGTCTCCTAAATAATTCACGCCTTTCACTTACTTATAAATGTCAGACTCCAGCTGTTGCAGAATCAATAGCAAACTTCCATCATGTTCAGAATAATACCTTAGTCTGCCAATAGTCGATCTTGTAGCAGAAAAACATACTTTAATAAATAACACAGTCTTGGATGCCTGCCATTTGATGACTCAGTTTATTTAGGAGTGATCTTTATGTTTTGAACTTCAAGTAGGGTCTTTCTGATGATGACCTTCAGCCAGTAAGTGTTAACTTTCTCTTTTGTTCATCATCATCATCGTGTAGCAGGACCTTTGCAGGGCGTCGTCATCACGGTCTGCCTGAAAGAAACTTGGCCTCTCGCCAGCTCTCCCGCCTTGAGTACTTTCAAATTCAAGGAGTCACTTATATCCTATGCCCATCTTTGCACTGGTTGGCCCCTGCCCCTCCTCCCAGGTACATTGCCCTCTGCTATTTTTCTTTCCAATCCACCATGGTGCTTGATATAACCTAGACAATCTTCCTTGACGTTCAGATCTTTTAAAATGTCATTATTTCTTCTCTTCTTTGCTCATGGTATTTTGAGAATCTTTCTGTAGCATTTCAGCTCAAAAGCCCTTATTTTCTTTCTTAAGGACTGGGAGATAGTCCACTACTCACATCCGTATGTTGCTACAGGGAATGTGAATGCGCTCAGAATTTTAATTTCGATCTCCTTGCTGGTGCTCAGCCATATACTTTTAATGCTGTTTAATCTTTGCAGTGCAACAGCCATCCTTCTTTTGATAACTGTCAATCTCCATTGCTATTTATTATAGAGTCAAGATATTCAAAGTTTGTGACATTTTTCATTTCTTCATCATTTATTGTTATTTTTTGGGTAACAGCCAGTTTTGTCTATTCTGTTAGACATCATTACTTCCCCCTTTCTTTCTTTCCTTTTTTTTTTAAACCCAGATTGTTTGCAGCAAAAAATATGTCAATTCTTTATCAAAACAGTTTTATTTCTTTACGTAGGCACAGTGGTTTCAGTTCAGTTTTATGCATCTGGATTGACCCCTGGTGTCGTATGTCAGAGGGGGAAAAAATACCTTTGGAAGAATTTTAACCTAGGACCATGAAACTAACAGACTATTGCAAAAGCTATATGGCTGCTTTATTGTTTGCTTGTGGCAATGATGTTCTAAATTTATTTATTTTATGCTTGCAACAGTGATGATGAATCAAAAGAAGTACCCTCATTGCATAATTCAGCCAGTGGGAGCCTAAATAACTCTCCTGACAAAGCCAGCAGTTCCTTTGAAATTCCTGTCAGCCATGATAGTGTGTCTAATGGAGGGGAGCTGAGCTTCATTCAATTTGCTGTTAACAGCGGGTCTGGATCTGATGAGAAGAGGCCAAGTTCAGCACAGGATAATTATGAAATGGGCTTGAATTCTCAAGGTTTGAGGGAACGTTCGTTTGAACGGTCTCTGGACAACATTTTAGGTAAGAAGATTATAAATTATTTTGGCATTGCCTCTATTTTTTGTTCTTAGTCACTTTTTTAAGAATGTCATTCGAACACTCTTCCACTTATGTTTTGGGGTGTTTTCATCATCATGTGTTATGTTAATGATGTGATGTTTTTGTTTACATAAAGCTTGATTACATGTCACTGTCTATGCACATCTTAATAACTGCCTATTCATTGTGTGAGGATTAATGCAGAAGGCACAGTCCCTATCAATGATTAACACAGAAGATACAGTCACTATCAGTCGAGTAGATGATGTTCTGTTGAAGAACTGGGCTTTCTCCTCTACTGGTTGATCTGAACTCACAGGGTCTACACTCATTTTATGTGGAGCCATTCAGGAATGTGCTAGGCTACACTGTTTCCAAGCTGTCGTTCCTTTTGACCCATTGAGATAAACTGACACCTGCACTTAAATTAATATTGTTGTAAGTTTTTAAAAAAAAAAAGTAAAGCAGCCTTTTCCACGCCCTCAGGTGTATGGGGTATATAGGGCTAGACCTATATTTTATAGACCAAACGACACTCAGTGAATATTATAATCATGCACCTAATGAGATACAGTGAAATAGGCCATACATTTTGCACTGCATTGCTTCTGTCGGCAGTATTTAAATTTATAATAGAACAATATTGTTTTGAAACTCTTGTACATATTTCATAAAATACAGACCAATTGAAGTCCTTGACACTGAATGCATTCAACATTGTTTTCTGATAAATTGTGGATAGGATTTTAGGACAGAAGTTGTTATTCATTGTTTACACATACGTTTCACTCTAACATTTGTTCTATACCAGATAAATACTCAGAAAAATCCTTGGATCTGAACTTGTCTGTGGATTCATGGAACTCTTCAATACAGGAGGGAGGAAAATCCCCTGACCAGCAGTCAGGGAGCAGTGGTCTCAAGGCTTCCAAATCCGAGAAGAAGAAAAATCGATGGTACAATGTAAGTACAAAATGTCATTGTGTGTGTATGTGCATGCATGTGTTTCATGTGTTAGTGCATGTGTGTGTGTGTTTTTGTTTTCATGGTGGATAATAATACCAAAAAAATCCAGACTTTGTGCCGATTTATACGGAGGTTTGCTTAATGCATTGTGTATTTCTTGTTAATTTCTTCCTAATTGTTGGAGTTGTTTATATATTACTTTCCCAAGTCTGCTAGTTCATGCATGCCTTTATAAATATTGTTTTAAATGTACATGGTAATTTTCTTGGAGTTGATTATGTATATCTGCCAAAGTCTGCTAACTCATACATGCCTTTATAGATGTTCTAGTTCAAGTATCTGTGTCTAATTGCTGGAGTTGTTTTTTTTTTTTTCTACTTGTTCATTTATAACAGTCTAATTGTACTTGTTCATACGTAACTTTCAAATTGTAGTTGTTCATCTATAACAACATAATTGTAGATGTTCATGTATAACAGCCTAATTGTACTTGTTCATGTATAATATTTTAATTGTAGTTGTTCATTTATAACAGCCTAATTGTACTTGTTTATTTATAACAGCCTTTTGTACTTGTTCATTTAAAACAGACTAATTGTACTTGTTTATTTATTGCAGCCTTTTGTACTTGTTCTTTTATAACAGCCTAATTGTACTTGTTTATTTATTGCAGCCTATGTACTTGTTCATGTTCAAGTATTACAGCCTAATTATAGCTGTTCATGGATGAAAGTCCAATTATGTTGTTGCCATTGTTATGCTTGTCTAGTTATTGTTTTTAGGTTTTTTGTTTTATGTATTCCTTTCTAGGGGGTGCTGTTGTTATTGTACTTTGCCTCCACCAGTTTAGTTCTTGCATACGTGAATTTACTAGTGATACTGATACAGAACTGTCTGTGACTAGTGTAACTGATATTGTTTCTGATGAATCAAGTATGTCCAGTTTGCTTGTTACAGCAAGCCAGATAGTATTTTTACCACTTGAACAAATGTCACCTCTTCTCATTTTGTTAACCGAGATCAAATTATGAAAGCAGTATGCAGTATGGTTTCTCTTAATATATGTTGCAACTCTCATGTTACGCACATGTATAATATGCGTATAATGGCACTAACACAGTTTAGTAAGTGTATTTTTTACTAGGGAAACTATGATAGTGTAGCGTATAGATATGTGGTTTTCAACATGTTTCAGGTGCCCCTCCCCCCTCAAACCCCACCTCCACAGATATATGACGGCCATGACAGAAAAAATACCAAACACTATTACTAAGTACTTGGAGAAAGACATCCAAACTAATTAAAGTGTCAGATAAAATACCAGAAACAATCATCCGTAAATTAAAGTGTCAGATTACATAAGTGAAACAGTCATCAATAACTGGTAACAAATATCACTGTTTTGTCTTGACGATATCTGCTTTTTTTTTTTTTTTTTGGGTCTCATGTTTGACAACACAGAAAGGATTATTGAAAATAAATAAAAATATAACAAAGAATTACAATTACAGATGCACTCAGTTTAAACATTGCTTGAACCACCTTCCCCACTTCACCCCCCTTTTCTCAAAAGCTCAGCATGCCCCTTGGGTGCTGCGCCCCACAGGTTGAAAATCACTGGTCTAGATGCTCAACTGCCAGCTCAAAGATCTGATATTCCAATCTGCATTAGGATGGATTTTGTTTTAAAACTTGGTCTTTGCTCCCAGGCTAACCAAGCCTAATTGAGTATCTTGTAATATACTGGGAAGTAAAGGCAAAGGGCAACATAATGACCACACCAGATGACAGTGGTTACCATCAGAATAGAGACTATTCACCAGTTGTTGAGGAGGGAGTTGAATTAAGAATTAAGAATTGACATCACAGCACTCAGGACACTCCCATAAGCGCTCCATCCCCATCTTTAGCAGCAAGCGAAGAGTTTCAAATTCCGGCAGCACCAGTAACTGTTTGATGTATATCCGTCTCGCACTTTCCTTGAGTGCTGAGTTGGATGAGGGCAGTAAAATGGTTATAAATGATGTGCAGCAGAAATAGTTTTATTACTGTTCTATGTCTGCCTTTGTGGCATCATGGATAACTTTCTCTTTTGCCAGAAAAATGCTGTGTTCAGTATCAATTTAATCAATCTGTAATGAGTGGGAAACCCAGTGACGTAAAAGGGGTTCCCTAATGTGACGGGTTAAGGGTCAAAGGCCTATAGAAGAAAACCCAGGAAAGCATGTAAGTAAGCTTGGTTTTTCCCGTGTACAAAAGAGCGATTAGAAGTAAGAAACTCGTTAACGGAGAGAAAGAATTAGACATAAGGAAGTAGGAATTAGCATTTGGTGTTTGACAGCAAGAGAGTCGGGTCGAGTTGAATGAGAAGTGTGTCTGCCATGAACCGTGATAGCTGATAGTGGGAGCAAGTACCTGACATGCAAGGAAGATGGCTGAACCAGAAGTGACTCAGTGCTGAATGATCAAGCAGCTGAGAATGCTTGTGGTGTGTTGCTTCAGAATCCAGATACTAGTTTGAATGGAAATCCAGAGTGAAAGGTAATTGATTAAGCCTCTGAGTTGTGTTTATGAAGTGGTGGCAGTCATGACTGATTCCCAGATAAACAAGTAAGGACTGTCGACAGCGACAGGATGACATATTTATAGGAACACCAATAAACAATTTCCTTGAGAAATCTGAGTGTTGTTGCAATCTGTGTTCCTACTTATTTAACACATTAAAAGAGGGAAACCCAAGTCGCTGTTGGTTCAAACAGAAGTCCAAAAGCCAAGTTTAACATTGCATAATCAAAGCCTACACAATAAGTATCTGAAATGTCTCGGAAAATAATTGCAGCTAAGATATGATTACACCTATTATATAATTTTTGTGTGATGTTCGATCAGTGATAAAAATCTGCTAAAAGCCGTACCATTAATGTCATTTGTGGCATGTAGAGATATGGACTGCCTGTTACTTGTTAACATGCTGTTAAGCAACGAGCAGCAGATGTCACTCTGTGTATGGCAGCTTGTTTGCTTGCACTTTAGGTTCTCATCTGTGGTAGCCTGCTGTTCACATAAGTAGTGGTTTCTAGAGGGTTCTTTTTCCATACACATGTCTGTCTGTCTGTATATTTATCCATCCATCTTTCTGTGAGCCAATCTTTCTACCTGTCTGTCTGGGTGTCCATCAATCTGTTTGTCTGTCCATTTGTATGTTACTGGTACCATCAGAATTTTAACTCTTTGCTTGTTGCTGAAGATGGGGATGGAGTGCTTATGGGGGTGTCACAAGTGCTGTGATGTTGATTCTTAACTCAACATTCAACAACATTCAACATTCCATATGTGTGTCTGTGAGTTTTGCATGTGCATCCATGTTACATATCTTTGTAGTCAGTTGTTTCCTTGTCTGACAGGCAGAAGCACTCCAACTTAAAATATGTTTGCATTGTAAAGTTAAGGTTTATTTTTTAATCTTTTTTGTTTTTGTTTTTTTGTAAATCAAGTTTCTGATCCCTTTAATTTTAAGTGGAAGAGTCTGGCCTAGAATATAAGGGCCTGAAACTTCACAGACTAGCGGTGATGTCTGCAATGGGACTGCTTTTGTATCTGTAAGTAGGAAACATGATAACCTGTGGGTTGATACCCTTTCTTGCCAGCAGGGGTTTAGATGTACTGCTACAGAAAGGATCATCATATAGTGCATTGCCTGGGTATTGGTTAGGGAGCCACAGTGGCTTAGTGGCTAGTCACTTGCTTGCCAGCCTAAAAGTTTTGGGTTTGAATTCACATCATGGCAGGGTTGTTTTTTCCCCCTTAAAAATTAACCTTCACTTCTGAGTCGACCCAGCCTGAAATGGTACTAGGAACTATCCTGGGAAGGTAAGCCGACTAGCGTGATGCTGGTCCCAGTTAATTTCCAGGAATGTGAGACTAGCAACATATCCTCATTGTAAAGTAAAGGACCCTTTTCTATGTATTGGGTATATAGGGCCAGATCTATAGTTTATAGATCAGTCAGCCCTCGGTAGGTGATGTGATAGCACCACCTGGCCATCTTTACTTCCCAAGGCTTTACCTGGTATCCATTTAAGGCTGAGTCGACCTGGAAGCCAAGGTAATTTTTTTTTTTTTTAAGTGAGGTTAGACCTGAACCTATGACTTTCTGATCTGCCGCAGCTGGCTCAATAAAGGGTCCTTCACTTTACGTTGCTACTTGGTATTGGCATAGTGACAGATAAGTGCGGAACACAGCCTGTCTTCAGAGACAACTTCTAAAATGAGGCCTTTTACACACACACACTCAGACACAGTCACGCACACACACACACAAATGTGCACACATACATACACAAATAACACAAATACGATGTACACATAATTCCACCAACCCACTCACACCTGCACACACAAAACACACACAAACACACATGCACACACTCAGATGCTTATGACTTTTACCTGCATGTTAAGATGATTATATGGAGCGGGGGCAGCATTAATTCATTGATTGACAGATGTATGCAAAACTGCTGCAGGAGACACCATCTGTTGCCCTCACATCCTTCTCACATGTTGCCCATTGTGTTATGTGAAGAAAGGATAAACAAGAGTCCTCTGTCAGATGTTGGTCCATGCTGTGCACTCCCTTTCTGATGTCAGCTGTATATATAGCTCCTCTTTTATGTCAGCTGTGTGTGTAATCCTTCCTTGGTGTCAACTGTGTACGTAATCCTTCTTTGATACCAGCCTTCCTTGGTGTCACCTGTTTATGTAATCCATCCTTGATGTCAATTGTGTACATAATCCTTCATTGGTATCAGCCTTCCATGATGTCAGCTGTGTATATAATCCATCCTTGGTGTCAACTGTGTACATAATCCTTCTTTGGTACCAGCCTTCCATGGTGTCAACTGTGTATGTAATCCATCCTTGGTGTCAATTGTGTACGTAATCCTTCTTTGATATAAGCCTTCCATGGTGTCAACTGTGTATGTAATCCATCCTTT